CCTTAAAAGAACTTAAAAAAAAAAAAATACATACACACATATAAAAAAAAAAAAATGCCAAAAACTTGAGGGCCCCTTTCCAAACAGTACAGTTAGTTCAGTGTCAATAATTCACATCTTGCAACAACGTGTATGGATAGGATTTCTTTTACAAAACTTTCAGTGTCAAAAAGGAAATTAAGGCCATCAGATTCGCAGCTTAAAAAATTCACATAAAGGAAATAGAAAAATATCGTGTGCTTCTGAGAAGGCTCTGCACTGTATACAGGGTTACCATGCTTCTGTCTTGACGAGTTCACATAATGGCACAGCTTCTGTTGGACGCTCTTGGGGCTCCCTGAGTGGGAAACAGAAGGAAGAGTGAGAACTAACAATATCGTGATGTTCTAAACACAAACCCTCTCAAATAGAGACTAAAGGTCTGTATTACCTACTTAAAAGGGCCTGGTCATGCCTCACTCTTAGCATTAAGGGCTTACCTCAACGAATCCCACAACTGAGTTTCTATACTAGCTGCAGCAGAGTTTTTAAGAATAGAAAAACAAACAAACAACAAAAAAAAGCCAAAAAGCTGATCTAAGCCTGTAAACAATTAAGAATCTCTCACTTAGCTCTGCAATTTTAAAGTAATTCTCCTATCTAGCTGAGTTGGATGCCCTCTATAACTTCAGTTCTAGGGGATCCTATGCCCTCTTCTGGCCTCCACAGGTACTGCATGGTGCGGTGCACAGATGTGCAGATAACATAAGACAAAAAGGTTTTGTTGGAGTATTGTTCAGCGTCACTTGCCTAGAAAAACTCACTCCTTGTGACTTGCTAATAATTAAAAACTGAAGGTTATCAGTCCCAAGGGTATTGGATCACTGTCACTGTGCTTGGTTGCTCCAATCCTTTTCCCTCTCGTGGATTTTTTTGACGCTTTCCCCTCTTTGGAACTCTACTATCATCTGTGATCACAAGCGCAAAACCTCCAACACCTTGGACTTTTTCCTCTCTTCTGTCTTTTCTGAGTCTGCATAAATCTTCATGAATCTACATTTTGCCTACCTCCTCAGTAGCTGACCTGGCAGGACTCATGCAGATCACTTGTCCGCAAATGCTAACCTTCCTTCTACTCCCTGTGACATTTTCACTGATGTGGGAAATGGATCCTGTGCTAGTTTTTCATTAAAGTCAAGTAGAACAGACTTTCCTTAACTATGCCAGCAAAATGACACAAGGCATCCAGATTAAATAAACTCCCACACAGAAGTTACACAGGTTGGGTTACACATGTGAGGTCTGCTGAGAGCAGGGCTACAGAAGCAAACCGTGGTTTGAGTAAGAATGCCCCCCACAGGCTAATATAACTGAATGCTTCCTCACCAGGGATTTGCGATATTTGAAAGGATTAGAAGGGTTGGGAGGTATGTGTGGTTGGAGGAAGTGTATTTCAATAGCCTCCATCCCTCCCTCTCTCCCTCCTCTCCAGATCAGGATGTTTGCTCTCAGCTACTGTTCCAGCAGCCTGCATGCTGCCATGCTCCACACCATGATGTTACACTTAAACTTCGAAACTGTAAGTAAGTTTCTAATTAAATGATTTCTTTCCTAAGAGTTGCCTTGGTCATGGTGTCTCTTCACAGCAACAGAACACTAAGAAACAAGGCCAACTTAGATTACAATTACAGAGATAAAGAGACAACAAAAGACTAATTAATGGTCACACTCAGCAGCTTGAGAATATAAGTTAAAGGCTCATTAGTTATATTAATATATATTTTTTTCCAAATTTAATTAGTTAAAACGTTTTTTTTTTAATTTTTTTTTTTTTTTTTTTTTTTAACAAAGCCCAAGCATCAGCAATTACTTAATGAATGGCAACTTTATATAACAGTAATGAAATCGGCTCCACACTGAAGCTCAATGGCTCTAGATTCTGTTTTCTGTTTCGAGTGAATGCTGCTCTCAGGAGCACAAAGTTTTCGGAATCCAATAAATAAACTTCAAGGCATACGATCTAATCTATACATTTATAGGTAACATACATGTCTGGCACAGCACATTATTTACACCAGAAAGCAAAGGACAAAAGTAAAGGTGACAGAGAGAAAGAATTACGTCCAAGTTTACTGCCTTGAGCACTACTTGGCTGAGCACACACCCAGTGAGTGGGTGGATTACTACTGCTCACAAATAGCAAGGAAAGACACACAATGGGTTTTGAGGCAATTCTATTACTGAAAATGAAAACAAAGTCATACCTGCTGGTGGAAGCGCTCCTCTTCAATAACCACTCCAATGGGCTCTTCCTCCTCCTCCTCCTCCTCTTCAGGTATGGTTGTCTTAAAGACTGTACTTCTCTGAGCAACCTCCTGAAAGTGAGATAGCAAACTTCAAGTCAGACGCCATGGGAAAGAAAGCCCCTTCCCTTTGCTTAAGAAGCACCACTGCCATAGCAAGGATTTTTAAAGCCATTTCATCAGCAGTTTTAGCTAGTGAATTTCGTGTAATTAGCAGCAATTAGTAGACCTTCTATTTTTCCTGCAGGGGAGCTACTGGGATCCAATTTGAAATACCTGCTGAGCAGTTTCTAATGCTTTTTATCCTATTCTGTTACTAAAAATTCTGTGCAAGTCCTCTGGCATATTGAATTCTCTATAAAACTCAATATGAATTCTGCTTAAAGATCTTTGCTCCAAGCAAAGAAATAAATGCTGAATAAAAAGAAGCTGAGGGTCAAGTGCTCTAACTTAGGAACCTGGTTGCAACAGGACCACCGGAGCAATGTGAAGACAAAGAAAGCACCTTCCATTCCATCAGGAAATGGAAGCAGGATGAGTAGCACTGATTACTACTAACATAACATTGAGTGTAGGAAACAGGGCTCTGACCATTCATAAAGGTGCAAGAGAAATCACCTGTTTCCACTCTAGTGAGGACCAAGTGCAGGTGAATCTGCTGGAGAGAATGCTGAGCTGGGCTAACCATGACGTTCAAGCATAAGGCTAACTTGATGATCTGCAGCTAGTAAATGAGTGTGTCCTAGAGAGGGCTCTGAGAATCCCAAGTCCAAAGATCACTCAAGAAAACTCCACAGTGGAATTAACAGACCCCCTGGGTTAAAACAAACCCAAAAGACAGTGTCACAAGGACAGTGTTCCAGAAACAGCTTCAAGTGAGGTTATCTCCAAGGACATATTTTGTAAACAAAACAAGGCTCTAATACAGGATTTGTGTGGACTTGAATTAGTGCAGCAGTGGAGGAAGCTAGCGGCTCATGCAGGAGCTTCAGTTCTTCGAAGTCAGTCTTTACAAACACAATCACCCCATAAGCATCAGTCTGTCTTAACCCAGCGATAGCATTGGAATGCAGAACGAAGTCCTTAGAAGAAACATCAAATGTAGCTCCAGTTCTTTGACAAGAGTCCTGAGGCTCACACAGTGAAAATACCAAAAAGGTGTTCGACACTCCAGAGAACTAGTGTAGTAAGGTTGACAACACAAACATTTCCTAGGCTAACAGTCTAAGCATTTACAAGGTTAACAGCATAAACATTTATTTACCATGTAAACATTCTATATCAGAAACTGTTTTGAAAAAATGTGAACATTCAGGTGAAATTACTCAAAATCCCAAAGCCAGTTCATAGTGGAGACAGAACCTGACAAGGACAACTGGAGGAGCCTCAAGTCTGTGCTAATAAATCAAACTCCACCCCACCCCCAAACACTCTATCAACGTGTGTCGGTTTCCATTTACTCAGTATCAATTACTTGGCAGCCTTGGTCTAACTGTAGTTTCACTTTTCAATGGGGTTTCTACTAAGAAGTCAGACTGGTGAAATGGATGCCACAGTGGCACTGTAGAATGGCCCATACCTCTCCCTGAGAATTTTTCAGTATAACCTTCACATCTTCACCGGTGCCCCAAGAGTTCTGGTTCTTCCAGATGAGGTCAGTTGGAGGACTGGCTGTGACTCCAGCATTTGCAGCCCATATCTGGAGGAGAGAAAGAACATGAGCACACCTAGAGCCCAGACACATCAAGTTCAGCAGCACGATGAAACTTAAAACTTAAACTCTTCCTCTAATGGGCTGTGAACTCTGCCTAGCTACCTGTGGTCACCACAGCTCAGAGCTTAATATATGGACACATGAGCCCCCAAAATAAAACTGCCACACTCTGGCCTAGCCATTCCACAAAACAGCTGATCCAGAACAAGTTTTCTTACTGTCTTCAACAAAAATGGGCAACAACAAATGGTATCTTATAATAGGTGGGGCCGCTGCTGACCGACAACCAATACAAAGGAGCATACTCACTCAATGTACTATTCACAGTCAATTGCTCTGTGACAGTGGTTCAAAACCTTCCTAAAGCTGTGACCCTTTAATACAAAGAGTTCCTCATGTTGTAGTGACCCCTGACCATAAAATTACTTTTGTTGCTAATTCATAACTGTAATTTTGCTATTGAGACGTGTCTCAATTCCTAAGGCCATCAGAAATGTGTTTTCCAATGGTTTCTATTGTTGGGTTGAGAACCTCTGCTCTATGGGTTTCATAGGTCACCCTTCCAAGAGACAGATACATGCACACATGTGTGAAAACCCCTCCAAGCTCAACAACAGTTGCTGTTCCATAGCTAACAGTCTACCTGAAATACTCAGGGACAGTGGCTCATCCCCAGATGGAGACAGTGTCACAGTGCCCCAGCGCATTTCAGATTATGCTCCACAGAGAATGCAGGAAATGTTCTGGGAAAACATAATTGCTAATGAAATAAACCAAAGAAAACAAATGCATTCCCTTCATCAGCATGGAAATTCTGCCATTTTTTTTTCAAGTATTTCTTGGCAGGAAACAGGTGGACTGGAAAACACTGGAGTCGGAAATCCCAAGTGTAGAGGGCTAGCGAGAAGAGCTCAGCGCTAAGTGTGCACTAGTCTTGTAGAGAACCCAGGTTCAATTCCCACTCCCACATGGGCTGCTCACCTCCCATATCTGACACCAGTGTCAGGGGTTGACCCCTGTGGGTATATGCATGCATGTGATGTACACAATCTTATACACTACAAAGACACACACAATCTTTAAAAAAAATAAAAAAAAAACCTAGGTATAAATCCTAGACAAATCATTATACATTTGTGGTCCCACTGTCCTCAGGCAGATATAACCAGCCTTAATCTTATAAATAATATGGAAACAGGCAGAACACAGAAAATTTGTAACTGGTTGCTAAATATAAAAGATTTGGTCACCAAAAATGCAAATGACAAATCCAAGCTTATGGGGGAAGTCTATGAATCCCTATAAGAAACACCCCTTCCTCTCTTTAAATCGCTATCTTGTATTAGAAAAATCAGGCTTTGTGGGGTTTCACTCCTACAGGAGTACTTACCACCCCCAAGGGGATGACTGGGCCTATCTGTGCACCCACAGAAACTGTGTCACCCCTCCAGTTGGGACAGAAAGGCCCACGGAACCATTGAGTTCTCCCATGAATGTTACAAATTGAAGGGGCATTTACAGATGAAACTGAAAAATGCACAAGGCCCTGAGCCGGCTCTGAGGTACTTTTTGCAATACTTTTCACTACACAGAATCACACAGTCCATCTACTGTAAATAATAACATGGCAATGAGGCTTACATGTAAGTGCCTCAGTGTAAAAGATACGCTGTGCATCCCACATCTCAGAAACCTAGACAAAAGTTAACAGACTTAATTCATTTTTGTATTGATAATGGGTTTCTATTTTGTTTGGGGGAGTGTTTATTTTTTGAAGTAGGGTTTCTCTGTGTAGCCCTGGCTGTCCTACAACTGACACTATAAACAATGCTGGCCTCAAACTCATAGATCTACCTGCATATGCCTTCCTGGTGCTGAGATGAAAGGCAGGCACCACCATGTCCTATGTATTTAATCTATTTTGTTCAGAAGTAACCTTATACCTTTGCAAGTTTTTACTATGTAACAATAAATTTTTAAAAGCATACATAGGGTTTTCATCTTGTTCTGGATCTTCAGACTGATCCTTGTATTTGCCTTGTACAATGTCACAGGAAAATCTCCCTCACTACTATGTCCCAAAAAACTGATCATGCTTAATGTGAGCTACTAAAGAAAAAAAAAAAAATGCCCCACATTGTCTCATGCAATAAGAGTTCTTCAAGCCGGGCTCCAAAGCTACAGAGAAAAAC